CCCCCTTGACCTGTCCGTCCTCCCTGGACTGACCTATCTCCTCCCTAACTCCCCACCTACACTCACCTTTACTGGCTCCATCCCCGCCTCTTTGACCTGTCTGTCTCCTCTCCACCTATCTTCTCCTCTATCCATCTTCTATCCGCCTCCCCCTCTCTCCCTATTTATTTCAGAACCCCCTTCCCCTCCCCCATTTCTGAAGAAGGGTCTAGGCCCGAAACGTCAGCCTTCCTGCTCCTCTGATGCTGCTTGGCCTGCTGTGTTCATCCAGCTCTACACCTTGTTATCTCATTTGGAAGCAGAGCTGTCTCTGGTGGACATTTCAAATGGCGGGGGGGGTTTAGTGGAAATGGGCTGCTAGACAGAGCAAGGGGAGAGTTGGTCAGAGAACTTGGGGTGTGGCTGGGTATTGGTGAGGGGTGTACTTGCCAGGCTGGTCCAGGTGCTGGAGGGTGTCCTCTACATGTTGCATTCCCTGCCAGCCATTTGCTAGAAGTGACCTGCTACTTGTAAATGCCCAGGGCAGGCAGAGGCAGTGTCAGCTCAATGGGCAAAAGTGCAGGATCCACTTTCACAGGGAGGACATTGAGGGGGCAAAAGCATCCAGCGCTTGCAGGCCACTGCCCATTTGCAATTACATTATCGAGCATGTGATATTCATCCAGTGTGATAGTGTTTGAGGTTCAAATGCTGGTCACAGGGACTGTCCACAATATCAGCTCTGCCTGTAAAATAGGTTGATACTGACCACAACTAAAGCAAGGCTTACACAACTTCTGATGGTGCTGTGGGGCACAGAGGCAATTGTCTCTACCCCCCGCACAGTTAGCATAATGTCAGAGGCTACTGTATGTAATAATAACTTCCACGTTTGAAGTGGGAAGAAAAAAGGTTCAACTTATGGGAGTTGATGGCCTAGTGGTGTTATCACTCAACTATTAATCCAGAAACCTGGTAATGTTCTGGGACTGGGGTTCGAATCCTGCCACAGCAGATGGTTGAATTTGAATCAAATAAAAATCAATAAAAATTAGGAGTCTAATGATGACCATGAAGACATTGTTGCTTGTTGGGAAAAACCCATCTGGTTGACTGATGTTCGCTGGGGAAGGAAACTGCCATCCCTACCTGGTCTGGCCTGTATGTGACTCCAGGCACACAGTAATGTAGATTACACTTACAGTCATAGAGATGTACAGTACAGAAACACACCCTTCGGTCCAACTCATCCATGCTGACCAGATATTCTACATTAACCTAGACCCATTTGCCAGCATCAGGCCCATATCCCTATAAACCCTTCTTATTAACATACCCATCCAATTGCCTTTTAAATGTTGTAATTGTACCAGCCTCCTCTGGCAGCTTATTCCATACATGCACCACCCTTTGCATGAAAAGTTGTCCCTTCAGTCCCTTTTAAATCTTTGTCTTCTTACCTTAAACCTATGGCCTCTAGTTTTAGACTCCCCTACCCTTGGAAGGGATGGATAATAAGTGCTGGCCTGGCCAGTGACATCCACATCTGTGAGTGAATTAAAAATTAAGTTTCTGTTCATTTTTGATGACTGTAAATCAAAGTTCACCTTTGGAATTGTTTGAATGCTTGCCTGTCAATGACAGACCCTACAATGATAAATTGCTGATCTGCAGTGGGCATTAATGAGTGAATAGCAGTGATTTAGAGAGTTTGGTAGTTTGGGATGTGACTAAGGACAGGCAAGCTGTGTGTCCTGGTGGTTAGACAGCAACAGGACCAAGAAAATGGATGTTAATGTGTTGGGTAGTGTCTGCCATACAAACTGTGTGCCAGGAGCATTGTGTGTTTGGCCATCACATTAATGGTAAAGGACAACTCTATAATGGTAAACCTTGGCTGGGGTGAAAAGATAGCACTAATGCCAAAGGTGCCGGTCTATTCCAAGATATCATGTGAACGGTGAGTTCAGGCTTTGGCATTCGGCAGAATCAGGTTGGTATCAGACAAAAGGGGCACAATAAGGGCTGGTTGGTAGTTAATGAGGCAAGTTTGGGATGATGCAGCAAGAAATTTCACAATACCTCACGGAAAGAAACCTTCCATGAAACTCGATTGAAACAGACCACTTTGTGACTCTTTTTAGCAATGTTTAGATTTTGTACCACTAAGAAGTTATATGAAATTATAACGTCATTGTTAAATCTACTTCCACCACACTTTCAGGCAATGGATCTTGATTATGCCAGCTAATTACCCACTTCATATAATGTATCCTTATCGTCTAAATGCTCTCATTCAGGAAACTTCAAAGAACATGGCCTGAGGTCATTGAGCTGCATGGGAACGGTACAGATTAACTCAACCTCTAAACTTTATTTATCTCACCATAGACTTTGAAAAAATATGGGAATTGGTTTATTGTTTTACAAAGTCAAAAGAATCATTGTTAGTAGCTGGGGAATGTGGGGTGATGTATCAATATGAGATAGTAAGCTTTGCAAATAAAGTTTTGCTCCATTTTTTCATCAGATGCTAAGCCAATAAAACAAAATTGTGAGCAAGGGAGAGGTCCCCTCTGTCGTCGCTATGTTTTGTGTTATCATCAACGTATCAGCTCAGTGCCCTCGGCATCTCGCAAACTGGTGAACATTATCTAAATAAATGCACCTTCAATTATGCTTCAGGGAAAAAAAATCTGTTTCAGTTATTCTCTTACCCAAACCAATACAGCAAACTTTGAAACAAAAACAGAAATTGTTGGAAAAGCTCAGCAGGTCTGGCAGCATCTGTGGAGAGAAATCAGAGTTAATTTTTCAGGTTGAGTGACCCTTTCTCATAGCAAGGGTCTGTTCTGAGGTAGGGGTCACTCAACCCGAAACATTAACTTTGATTCCTCTCCACAGATGCTGCCAGAACTGCTGAGATTTTCCAGGAATTTCTGTTTTGTTTCTGATTTACAGCATCCGCAGTTATTTTTGTTTTTATTTAGTATTTAACAGCAAACTTTGTTTTAACTGGCACCTTATCACCAGCAGTCTTGATAAACCAGCAAAATATTTGCTTTGAGATAGCAAGAACTGCAGATGCTGGAGTCAGAGATAACACAGTTTGGAGCTGGAGGAACACAGAAGGTCAGGCAGCATCAGAGGAGCAGGAAAGTTGACGTTTTGGGTCAGGACCCTTTTGCAGAAATGGAGAGGGGGTTGGGAGCTCAGAAATAAATAGAGAGGAAGAGTGGGGCTGGGGAAATAGGTGGGATGGTGATAGGTGAGGGCAGGTAGGGAGTGGTGGGGATTGGTCAGTGAGGTGGGAGGAGCGGATAGGTGGGAGAGAAGAGGGGCAGGTTGTGTCAGGTTGTGTCAGGTAAAGGAAGCAGGGAGGGTTGATCATGGGATGAGGCCAGGGTAATTGCTTTTTGCCAACAATTTTCTGTTTGTTTCACTTTCATTTCTGCCTCCAACATCAATGCTGTCTCTTCTTCCCCTTCCTAATAGCAGTGGCTTACATTGCACAATTTTCCAAAAGCTCTTCAATCAGATATTTTATTATGGAAACACAATGAACATGTAACTGTAACGTTCTTTCACAGGACTCGTTGCTTAAACACAATGAATTATTAATCTAGATGAGATCAGATGCATGTTTGTGAATGAAAAATCTCTGGCTTTCTCTTGACTGTTCATTTATTGATGGCAGGGAAGAGAAGCAGTGTTCTGACATGTTGTGAATTATTTAGGATAATATGATAGTGTGACTGGGATCCAAGGGCTAGCTTGATGTCAGTCTAAGGTTTGTAGTTCAACCAGATCAATGATTGTGTCACTGTGTTAAACAAACAGTCAGTCTGACTGACATCAGGACAGGTCCTGGGAGCTGCAGAAGTGTGGATCTCCCTTACTTAAAGCAGTGTGTCCAATTTGCAGATGGATGAGGAACTGGGTGATCAGAACCATCACTTCAGTGAGCATGATTTAGATGCAATCACCAACAAGATCAGTGACCTGGGCAAATGGAGAGAAATCTTCAGTCAACAAGGGTAAAGAAACAATTCATTTTCTCTTTCACAACTGATTATCTCCAGGTTTTTTTGGAAAATAACTTTCAACTGCGAAATATCCAGACGCCTTTTCCTTGTTTGCATGTTGCTTCCCTATGACATCACTCAGACTAGGGGTCAGTTTCCACTTGTATGAAATTAACACACAAACCTAACTCTTCATCCACTCATTCAACTTCGCGACCATCGCTGAGCTATCTGAGCGTCAGGTCGTGATGAGGAAAGCCTTCCTCCATTGAATGTTCTGTTTAGCTGCTGCCATAACTCCTCATTTTATTCTTCTTCTCCCTTCATCGTTATTCTCTCGAGTTGAACTAACAGCGTTCACCTCGGTGTGTCCTTGAACCCCAATCTTTTGCACAATGAAGATCAATTCCCTGCCTCTCCTCTTACCCAGGCTCCACCCTCCACATTAGAGAGAATCTCTTATCCACACTTCCATTAGTTAAACATTACTAAAAGGAGACGAGAAGTCAAAATTCTTCTGCTATTCCTCAAGGCTGGGATGCAATAAATGGTCTCGATAATCAAGTTTCAACTTCTTGTCTCCTTTTAGTAATCTGTACTGCCAGGTAATTACTTTTGATAGATCATATCTTTGTCTTCATTGTGTCCTAATTAAATTTCATGGTATGCCTTCCTTTCAAAGTTAGGTACCATCAATCCATTGACACCAGCTTCCAAACAATACATTCAAAATCTTCATCCAAGTCCCTCAGTCGCCCAGCCCAAATGATCTCTGCAACCTCCTCCAGCCCTGCTCATCAACCTGCTCTTTGACTCTGACTGTCTGAAAGCCCACAGTTATCTCAATCCTATTACTTGATGTTCCCTGGAATTTCTTCCCAATCTGTTCTGCCACACGGCTTCTCTCCCAACTTTGAAGGTCTGCTCAGAATTAGTCTTTACAGCAAGTTTCTGGTTATCTCCCATCACGTCCACTGCTGTCTAATGTAGATTGCAGCTCTGTGAAATGCTTTTGTGATGTTAAAAGATATTATAGCACTGCCTTCTGATGAATACATCATCCATGTCAGTCAACTGAAGATATGTCCTCAGTGACAATGCAATATAACAAATTTCTTCACTTACTAATTCTTAGGTCTTTTATTAATTCATGGGACATGGGTATCTCTGGCTGGACCAGCATTTATTGTCCATCCCTAATTGTCCCAGAGAAGGTGGTAGTGAGCTGCCTTCTTGAACTGCTGCAGTCTTTAGGGGTTTCGGGCAGGGCATTCCAATGTGGGCATCATAACATCAAGTGGGGTCAAGGGGTGAAATTTATAGCAGCAATGGCTGCCATTGAGTTCTGACTAAGTGAACAACCGTGAGATGGCTTTAAATCCTTTTATCAAACCGTGTTCATGGCTTAAATGACTCAGTCTTGAGAACATAGAAGATAGAACAGTACAGCACTTTACAGGCCCTTCAGCCCACGATGTTGTGCCGACCTATTATCCTACTAAGATCAATCTACCCTGCATACCCTACGTTTTACTATCCTCCATGTGCCTATTCAAGAGTTGCTTAAAAGTCTCTAAAGTATCTGATTCCACTACCACTGCTGGCAGCGCATTCCACACACTCACCACTCTGAGGCCTGGCATCTGTAGCTGTGCAAACACTAGGTTTTAAACGCTATCACACAACAATTAAATTGTCTCATAACTTTCCCCATTCCAGACCCACTCCTCTTACCAACCCCGCCTCCTCACTCTTAAAAGTCCTTCCCCTGAATAACTTTGCAACTCAGTATTTGGGTCAGGGATGTAACAGTAAGATTCCATGCTCAATTTGTTAATATGTTTCATCAATCTTGGTGCTTTAGAGGATGAAAATTCTCCCACAATTTAAAATTCCTTGTCTTCATACTTGTGTCCTCTCAAATATCCTATTTACATTACCTTCTATTTGTAATGTTGCATCAGTCACCGTGACTGTATCCATAGGTGAGTGCATTAGCACAACAGAGTCTCTTGGCTGATAACTTACATACCTATGAGTACTTCTAAGTTGAGTAACAGAGAGGGAATGTTACTGGAGTCCAAGGATCTGGACAAATGATCTGGGGAGGCCATGGCCTAGTGGTATTATCGATGGACTGTTCAGAGACCCAGATGACATTCTGAGTAAGGGTCACCAGACCCGAAACATTAACTCTGTTTTTTCCTTCACAGATGCTGTCAGACCTGCTGAGAGTTTCCTGCAACTTTGTTTTTGTTCCTGACATTCTGAGGACTCAGGTTCGAATCCTGCCACAGCAGATGGTGGAATTTGAATTCAATGAAATGTCTTAATTATATCTTAATATAATATATTAAGAATCTAACGATGACCATGAAACCATTGTTGATTGTCAGAAAAACCCATCTGGTTCACTAATATCCTTTAGGGAAGGAAACTGCCATCCTTACATGGTCTGGCCTACATGTGACTCCATACCCACAGCAATGTGGTTGACTCTGAACTGCCCTCTGGGCAACTAGGGATGGGCAATAAATGCTGCCTGGCCAGAGATGCCCTCGTCCCATTAATGAATAAAGGAAAAAAAAAGATAGCTGGGGAATTTAAATTTAGTGAATTAACTAAATCTGGAATAAAGGGCTACCATCAAGACCCTGAAGCTATTGGATTGACATAAAAATCCATCTGGATCACCAAAGTCAGGGAGGGATTTTGGGATTTCTTCTGCGATTTGGCTTAATATGTGATTCCAGACCAACAACATAATTGACTCTTAACGACTTTCTGAAATGGCCAAGCAAATTATAGGGTGAAATTTGAGAGGTTTGCTGACCACCAATTTCTCAAGGGCAGTTAGGGATGGACAATAAATGCTGGCCCTGCCAATGACATCCATATTTTGTGAATGGTGGAGAGTTTGTACAATGTTCACAGCATCACAAGGTAAAAGGAGCCTTTTAACTTGATTCAGTTCATAACGACATTGTTCTGAGGTAGAAGGCTGTACACTCAAACCCGCCTTGAACTTAAGAATAGAAAAAGTATGAGCAGAAGTGGGTCATTTGCCTCCTCAGACCTGCCCTGCATTCAATGGGATAATGGTGGATTTGTCCCAGGCCTCAACACCTCTTCCACGGAGTCACGGAATTGTGACAGCACAGAAGGAGGCCGTTTGGCCCAATGTGCCTGCATTGGCTCTTCAAACAAGCTTCATCACCCAATGCCAATCTGCTGTCTTTTCCCCATACCCTCGCGCACCATTTCTATTCAAGTAATAATCCAATACGTTCTTGAATGCCTCAGTCAAACCATTTTTCCAGGCTGTGTATTCCATATTCTAACTACTTGCTGTGTAAAAATGTTTTTCCTCACTTTACCCTTGCTTCTTTTGCAATTCACTTTAAATCCATGGCCCTCTTGTTCTTGTTTCTTTTACAAGCAGGAACAGTTTCTCCTTGTCTACTCTATCTAGCCTGCTCATGATTTTGAAAACCTCTATCAGTTCACCTCCTGGCATCTTGTCTCCAAGAAGAACAGCCCCAGTTTCTTCAATCTATCCTCACAGCTGAAGTTCCTCATTCCTGGAACCATTCTTGTAAACTACTTCTGCACTTTCTATAATACATTCATATTTTCCCTGTAATGTGGCACCCAGAACAATTCTCCAGTGGAGATCTATCAAGTCTGATACAAGGTCAACATTACCTCCTTGTTCATGTAATGCCCCTAGTAATAAGGCAAAAGGTACCGTTTCCTTTACCTACTACTCTTTCTACCTGTCCTACCACTTTCAATGATCTGTGCACGTATACATCCAGGTCCCTCTGCTCCCTTTTGTGTCCCTTTTTTCGATTGTATTTTTAATGTACATCTTACCAAAATGCACCACCTCACACTTCTCTGCTTTGCATTTCATATGCTACTTATCTGCCCACTCGGCCAACATATCAATGTCCTTCTGGATTTTTACACCGTCTCCTCAAAATTCCTTTGCAATTCTTCCAGGTTTAATGTCATCTACAAACTTTGAAATTGTCCCTGCTTACCAAGACCCAGATCATTAACATAAATCAGGAAAAGCAAGGTTCCCAATACTGACTCATGGGGAACTAAGCCATATCCCAGCCCAAATAATATCCATTGACCATTAGTCTCTGTTTCATATCATTTAGCCAATTTTATAGCTATGTTGATATTGACCCTTTTGTTCCATGATCTATAATTTTCTTCTAAAATCCATTGTGTGACACTGTGTCAAATACATAAAAACATAAGAATTAGTTCCATCATTTGATACGATCATGGTTCATCCCATCTCATCTCGGTCTCAACTCCACTTTCTTGCCTGCTTTCAATAACTTTTTAACCCATTCCTAATTTAAAATCTATTTATATCCTCCTTAAATTTACTCACTGTTCCAGCATCCACTACACTCTGGGCATAATGAATTCCACAAATTCCCAAAGAAAATGAAAAGAACTGCGGATGCTGTAAATCAGGAACAAAAACAGAAGTTGCTGGAAAAGCTCAGCAGGTCTGGCATCATCAGTGAAGAAAAATCAGAGTTAACGTTTCGGGTCCAGCAACCCTTCCTCAGTTCTGAGCTTTTCCAACAACTTCTGTTTTTGTTGCACAGATTCCTGACGTTTTGAGGGAAGTAATGTCTCTTCATCATTGTTTTAAATCTGTTATCCTTATCTTCAAACTGCAAACTCTCATTCTGGATTGCCCAAATGAGGAAACACCTTTTCTATGTCTATTTTGTCAAACCCCTTTAGCATATTTTAAACCTCAATCAGATCTGCTGCTTTCTGAAAGTCCAAATACATCACATCAATACATTATCCTCAATGAGCCTTTCTCGTCAAAAAAAGGCAGCAAACTAGTTAAACATGATCCCTTTCATAAATGCATGTTGACTCTTCTTAATCCACCCACCGTTTTTCATGTGATATTAATGCTTACCTCAATAATTGTCTCTAGAAATTTCCCCACCACTGAAGTTAAACTGACTGTTCTGTCTTTGATGAACTTATCCCTAGAACCTCTCTCGAACAAGGTCATCGTGTTTGCAAATCTCCAGTTTTCTAACACCTTCCCGGAGTTTAAGGAAGGCTGAAAGATTGGGGCCAGAGCCCCCGCAATTTCCACTCTCACTTCCTTCAAGATCCTTGCATGCATCTTGTCCAATTCCAGTGCCTTGTTCATGTTAAGTACCAACATTCCATCCTCTGCCCTATCAATTTTGAACTTCTCTTCTGGTGACTGAGTTCCCTCTTCTGTCACCATCGCCAGGGTAGCAACTCTCTTTTTTGTCAACACAGATGCAAAATATTCATTTAACATCTCAGCCACATCTTTGCCTCCAGGTGTAAATTCCCTTATTGATATTTAATCAGTCCTACTGTTTTTACCATGCTCTTAGGATAGGCTGAGGCTATTTTCCCTGGAGCGTTGAAGGCTGAATGGTGACTTTATAGGGTTTTATAAAATCATGTAGGCAATGGTCAGGGTGAATAGCCGAGGTTTTTTTTCCCCAGTGTAGGGGAGTCCAAAACTAGAGGGGCAGAGGTTTAATGTGAGAGGGGAGAGACTTAAAATGGACCTAAGGGGCAACTTTTTCACACAGAGGGTTGTGTGTGTATGGAATGAGCTACTGGAATAGTGGTGGAGACTGGTACAATTAGATCATTTAAAAGGCATCTGGACGAGTATATGAGTAGGAAGGGTTTAGAGGGATATGGGCCAAATGCTGAGAAATGGGGCTAGATTAATTTAGGATATCTGGTCGTACGAGTTGAACCAAAGGGTTTGTTTCCGTGCTGTACAACTCTATGACTCTATATGGCCACTGAAGATTTTCCTTCCCTATCCTGCACTAGCTATCTTGCCCATCTCTGCTCTTGCCCCATCTCCTCCCAGATAATTCAAATTGATTTAAATTGTTTGTTTAAAACCGTCCTAACTGCACAAGTAAACCATCTCCCAGGGAACTCACCTGTTCAGGTGAAATCCATCAGGCAAGTTTCATGTTGAGTAAATTGGTGCTTTCAGTGCAACATTGGAAAGAGTGGCATGGCTACAAGTGCTGACTGTCAAATATAAGTAAGACCCATGTGTGTGAGGTTAGAGACCCAATTTTCAGTAAAGATTGCTCACTGGGCTATTCGCCAGGATGTTGCCTGGGATGGAGCATTTTCAGTGACAAAGAGAGGCTGGATAAGCTCAGGTCTTTTTCTTTGAAGCAGAGAAGGTTGAGGATGGACCTGATAGAGGTGTATGAGATGATGAGGGGCATGGACAGGATGAATAGCGAGCAGCTGTGCCCCTTACTCAAAGTGTCAATAACAAGGGGGCATCATTGCAAAGTAAAATACAGAAGGTTTAATGTGGAACTTGGGGAAACAACTTTACACCCAAAGGTTGGTGGGGGTCTGGAATGCACTGCCTGGGTGGGGCTCTAATTGAGACGGGAAACCTCATGAACTTTAAAAAAGACATCAATGAGCTCTCAAAGTGTCATAACTTTCAAGCTATGGGCCTAGTGTGGGCAAGTGGGGCTAGCGTAGGTAGTAGCTTATTTTGGACAGTACGGACTCGATAGGCTAAGTGGCCATTTCTGTCCTGTATGATTCTGTGAAAAAGCAAGGAGTCCCTGTGACCTGATTCCCAATATTTGGCCATTCACCCAACAGCTTTGTAAAATACATGATAACATTTGCTGCATTTAAAGATTGTTAAGATTTAAAAGATATAAAAATTTAAGTTAAGTTTAAAAACTGTTGCAGCAAGTAATTAAGAAGATAAATGAAATTTTGGCCTTTGTTGCTAGAGGGTTGGAGTTTAAAATTAGGAAGTCTTGTTGAAACCATACAGGGTGTTGGTGAGGCTATACCTGGAATACTGTGTATGGTTTTGGTCCCTGAATTTAAAATTGTTTTGCTGTTTGCTTCCTGCAGCCAATCATATGGCCCTCACAGTGTTGGAGAAATCACTGAAGAAAGGTTGTGGTTTTTTTTATTCGAAATTTTAATATTTGTTTTGATTTGCAGATTACAATTCAAGGATACTGTGGTGAAGGTGAGTGTTTGAATTATTCTCAATTGAAACTTAGAAAATTAATGAAAGGCAAAGGATTCTCTTCATTATGTCTATGCTCTCTGATAAAGAACGATCCATCTCAACCCCACTTTGGGCCCTTGTTCCCACACGCTAAAGATTAGGGCACTTCAAGTGCGTCTCTTAAGTAGTTTTTTGAAAATGTGAGGGTGTCACTTTCAACAGTGAGCTCCAGATTCCCAGCACGCTCTGGGTTGAAAAAGTGTGTCCTTGAATCCCCTCCACTTGTTCTGCCAATTATTTTAAATCTCTTTCCCCCTGTTAATTGACAATTCTAGTGAGGAAACAGGCTGTACCTATCACTTCTTCTAGGTCCCTCCTAATTTTAGGCAGTATCCTCAGCCTCCTGCAGTTCCAAAGGAATAATCATATCAATTCAATCCATTCTCATAGCTGAAATTCTCCATTCCTGGCCAAATCCTTATAAACTTCTGTCCCCTCTTTAGTGAGGAAAGATCATTCTTGTAAGACAAAAATCATCACACCCCCAACAATAGAATCAATCATTTTATCATTGCAAACATTTGAATTCTTTTTAATGAGCATTTTGACACTTGCTTGTTCTTTGTTTCCAATGGGAACAACAGCAGGCAAAACTGAATTATTCGTTCCTTGCTGGTCAGTGAAGTTGGAAACACCATTAATCTTATTAGTCTGGGGTAGGATATAGAATTCTGCCTTCCTAGGGAAAGATTGTGAGCCAACTGTAGGGTGACATCTGGTCCTGTTTCCTCCACATTTCTTGTAACCACAACAACAGGAGGTAAAGAATTTTTGGTTGGAGTCTGTGAAGTGGATATTAACTTAGGACTACTCACCTAATTTCGTCAATTAATAAACTAGTCTTATTATGTTCCTTTTCTTCTGTAGCCCATAATGATATGTTTGGAAGAGAAAGCTGTCAATCTGTGGACTCACAGTCACAGTTTTATTATAGAATCACGCAACTGTTATGATACTGTAGGAGGTTATTCAGCCCATCCTGCCTACGCTTGTTCTATTACCTAGAGCCAATCTCCTGCCTTTTCCCCACATCCCTGCTCACCATTTCTATCCAAATAGTAATTTAATGCCTTCTTGGATGCCTCATGTTCCATTCACGAGCAGTTAAACTGTTGTAATTTTGAGAACAGTCCATTAGTCAGTCCATTTAGCTCTGGCCTAAAGTTGGCCCCAAATCCAGATCTCCAGCATTGAGATTTCTGAGCCATTTATAAGGGCAGGAGTCTGATTTGGTTTCCAGGTGCTTTCCAAGTTACTCTCTCAGAGTATGGTGAAAATAAAGCTATGGGTGCTCAGCTATCTTTGTCTTTAGATGAAGACTGAGGGGGTTTGTGGCCAGGAGATACAGCTACCTAACAGTATTCTAACTTCCACTTGCTGCTTCTGTGCAAAGGAGGGATCAACCCTTCACTTTCCAAAACAATGAATCACTTTCTAGTATAGTTGGAACTGCCGATGCTGGACAATCTGAGATAGCAAGGTGTAGAGCTGGATGAACACAGCAGTCCAAGCAGCATCAGAGGAGCATTTCTGAAGAAGGGTCCAGAGGAGCATTTCTGAAGAAGGGTCCAGACCCGAAATGTCAGCTTTCCTGCTCCTCTGATGCTGCTTGGCCTGCTGTGTTCATCCAGCTCTACACATTGTTATTACTTTCTAGGAAATGTGGCCTTCTATATAAAAAATAATTAATTTGCAACAGGGCTTAAGATTTCGGTGCCCATTGGATGGTAATGAGCATGTGCTGACAGTATTGGATGAAATAGGCATTGACCAGTCAGGGCTTGCTTCCGTGAGGTATATTCTATGTCTTATGGTTTCGAGCAAACCCTGTGCAGTAAAAATAGAAACCAGGAAAAGTTGGCAGGATTTTCATAGGAGTATCAATCACATTCAGATTGCCACTTCAGAGATAGTAGGATCTGCAGATGCTGGAGAATCTGAGATAACAAGGTGTAGAGCTGGATGAACACAGCAGGCCAAGCAGCATCAGAGGAGCAGGAAGGCTGTCGTTTCGGGCCTAGACCCTTCTGAAGAAGGGTCTAGGTCCAAAACATCAGCCTTCCTGATCCTCTGATGCTGCTTGGCCTGCTGTGTTCATCCAGCTCTACATCTTGTTATCTCAGATTGCCACTTCTTTTGTTTTATGTGACAAAACAGCTCTGTACTTCTGACAGGAGATTCTGATGAGTGCTCCTTCAGAAAGTTGGAAATATACTTCTATTCTGACAGGTCCCTCACAGCACAGTCCATGTCTCCTTTATCATAGCCATCAGTCGCCATGTTCGGAAGTTGAAAGTTCCAGCACCACGGACAGCGACCTTGAGAGCTGCTGTAAAATGGTTAGTACATGAGGTAAGTGTGAGGCTAGGGTGTTGAGATAATAGGGGCAGAGGTGAGTAGGGTGCCAAGCAGAAAGAGAAGGGTGCCAGGTGGTAGGATGCCAAGTGGGATTGGGGTAGGGCATGAGGTGGGTAGAATTAAAGCACATGGGACTGGGGTTAGTGTATTCAGATGGATAGAAAACTGGTTAGCAGACAGGAAACAAAGATTTGCAGACGACACAAAGGGTGCACTGTAATGAGAATGCCAAGATGTTGGAGGATGCCGAAATGTTGCAGTGCGGTTTGGACAGGCTAAGTGAGTGGGCAAATGCATGGCAGATGCAGTATAATATGGATAAATGTGAAGTTATCGCTCCAATAACAAATAAGAAGGCAGATTATGATTTGAATGGCTGTAAATTGACAGAGAGATGTTCCACAAGACCTAGGTGTCCTTGTGCACAAGTCACTGAAAGTAATACTGCAGCAGGCAGTAAAAAAGGTAAACTGTATATTGGCCTTCATTGCGAGAAGTTTCAAGTACAGGAACAAGGATGTCTTGCTGCAATTGTACAAGGGCATTGGTGAGGCCACACCTGGAATATTGTGTGCAGTTTTGACCTTCTTATCTGAGGAAGGATGTTCTTGCTATACAGGGAGTACAGTGAAGGTTCACCAAATTGATTCCTGGAATGGCAGGACTGACGAATGAGGTGAGATTGAGTCAGTTGGGATTGTATTCACTGGAGGTTAGAAGAATGAAGGAGGATCTCATAGAAACCTATAAAATTCTAACAGCACTAGACAGGTTAGATACAAGGTGAATATTCCCAATGACAGAGAGTCCAGAACCAGGGATCATAGTTGAAGGATATGGGATAAACCATTTGGGGTGAGATAAGGAGAAATGTCTTCGCCTCGAGGGTGGTGAGCCTGTGGATTTCACTACAGAAAGTGGTTGAGGCCAAAATATTCTGTAGATAGGAGGTAGATATAGCTCTTGTGGCTAAAGAGATCAAGGGATATGTGGGGAGGTATTGATTTGGATGATCAGCCATGATCATAATGAATGGCAGTGTAGCCTCAAGGGGCCAAATAGCCCTGAATTCTTTCCCTAAAGAGCATTGTGGGTCAAACTACTGCATGTGGACTGCAGCAGTTCGAGAAGGTCGTTCACCACTGAAATAACTCTACAGAGCCGGTATCCCATCACCAATCACCCTTTATTTACATGCGGAGAGTCCTTGATACTGCTCCAGCTCCCTCAGAGCCAGACCTCAGAGCGAACAGAACCTCTGACACTCCTGTTTATATCTGTCAGCCAGAGTTCCCTGATTGGACCAGATTCACAGCCCCAATCAGGGAACTCATATTCTATGTGGTCCAGCTGGCTGACCTCGTTACAATCTCTACAACCACCACCACCTAATCAAAGGGTTAAGTAGGGACAGCCAACCAACATTAACCACATCCCACAACTGAATAAGATACACATCATACTTCTGCTCCTACTTTTTAGTTTCTATCTTAGTGAGTCCAGTGACTCTTTTCCAGAACCTTCAGAAAAGGTGACATCAAAATGTTAACTCTGCTTTCTCCCCGCAGATGTGCCAGACGTTGTTGAGTTTCTCCAGCAATTTCTGGTTTTGATTCAGATTTCCAGCATCCACAGTTCTTTGTTTTATTATAGAAAAGATATTTAATTGTCCAGCTTTTCCTGCGTAATCATTTACATAGCTGCAGGGAAATACTCTTAATTGGCCAGATTAAATGGACACTTTCGGAGGATTCTAGGCTAAGGAAATTGCCAGAAAAGATCAGCAGTTCTGGCAGCATCCATGAAGAGAAATCAGAGGTAACATTTCCTGAAACGTTAACTCTGACTCCTCTTCACAGACGCTGCCAGACCTGCTGAGCTCTTCCAGCAATTTCTGTTTTTTGTTTCTGATTTACAGCATCCGCAGTTTTCATAAGGAAATTTCCAGTGGAATCTTCAATTTCCCAGGAAATTCCCTCAGAGTCTGCTATGATGAGATTTCACAGGGCCGTCATCAGTAACTCCCACCTACTTTTCAGAAATTATTATATGGCCAGTTGGAAAATTTGGGCTACTGGTTTGTTGGCAAAAAAACATAAAATTTGATGAAGATTTCTACTCGTAGCAAGTTTTTTGTTGAAGTATTTTTAAACTGCACTAAACTATCATACTACATCCAGTTGCAAGTAGAATAACTTGCAGCTGGAACATAATGGTGTATGACATGTCAGATCCCACTGCCAGGTTTAAGATCTTAAGGGTAATTTTGAATTTAGGTGAAAAATCATTGACTTCAATGGAAATTAAACTGAGGAGAGATTAAGTTGGCTCCTGATCTACTAGCGCTTGTTTTACATTGGTATCTAAATTCAAGGTTACTTGATGCATAGAATGGAATCATGGAATCCTGCAGTTTAAAAGCAGATCATTCAGCCCCATTGAGTGCACACTGACCCTCCAAAGAGCATCCCACCCCCACCCTATCCCTGAAACCTGACATTCCCCATGGCTAATCCATTTAGCCTGCACATCCTTAGACACTATGGGGCAATTTTTCATGGCCAATCTACCTAACCTGCACAACTCTGGACTGTTAGAGGAAGCTGGAGCACCCAGAGGAAACCCACACTTGCACAGGGAGAATGCGCAAAATCCGCACAGATAGTCGTCCAAGGGTGGAATCGACCCTGGGTCCCTGGTGCTATGAGGCAGCAGTGCTAACCACTGAACCACACTGTTTGCAGAGCACATTCTCTCCATGTAAAAACACATGTTGCTTGCTTAACTTAAAGAGAACAATGAGATTTGAATTTATGTAGCACCCAATCTGACAATCTCATGACTTCTCAGGAGTTAATTCCCAGCAACTGAAGTGCTCTTCCAGGTTATGCTACTGTTGTAATCGAACATTGTAACAACTTTGTCCACAGCAAGCTTCAGTGTTGTGATGATCAAACAAATAGCTGTTATCATTTGCTATGTTAATCGAAAAATAAACATTGCTGGAGACACGAGGGAGAACTCCCCTGCTCTTCTTTGAAGTTGTGCCATGGAACGTTTTTAATGCCCAGCTGGGAGGGAGCTTGCCTGAAGATGGCACTTCTGACAGTGCAATAGTGCTGTACTCAGAATGGCAGCAAAGATTGTATTCTGGAGGCTGTGAACCAAAGTGGTATGACATGGGTAGCTAAATATGAGGGCACAAAGAAATGCAATGATGTTTAATTGTAACAATTTATTTGGTTTTAGAAATGCAAGATAGTAAAGCAGTCTAGAAGTGAATCTCATATCATTTGTAAGACACACTGGACATTCGGCATCAGTGGTAAAATAGTCGATGCATTCCTGGCAGATTTTGCAAAGCGAAGTACTTTTGATTGCAAACGTCTTGTGATATCTGGCACTTTTTTTTTCTCTCCCCACGGATTATCATTAAAAATTCAGTTCTAAGGTGAATGATGAGATTGGCTGCGGCTCAGGTGCTTTCAGCTTGCTGTCCTCATCTGGAACAGCATGGGACAGGAGAGTCAAAGAATAGAGAATCTGTCTAGATTTCACCTATCACTCTGAAGTGCATCATCCCTGAGTGGTGATTCTTTTTTACCCTTTTTTCTATGGAATTGCACAATGATGTGTTGGCATGCCAAGATAACAGCAGGTTGTTCCACACAGAATTACTTTGAGATATTACAGGAGGAAGTTATAAGGAGCCAGAGTGTAAGTATAACTCAATTTAAGTTGAGTGTAACAATTTTTTTTCTCTCTGTGTTAATCTCTATTGAAACCCACATTAAATTGTGTTCTGTAAAACTATTATCCAGTAGGACTTATACAAGATACCGGTGTTAGAACTAATTTATTCTGTTCTTAAATAGAAGTATCCAGACTGCCGTAAGGTTGAGGATGACAGTGAAGATGGAGCAGGGACACCTCAGTCCAGCAGCATCAAATCTCATAGCCACTTCACCACCTTCAGTGTTCCGTATTGTGTCCCAAAAGCATTTGTTGTGTCTTCAAACTTAGGCAGCCTGCCCATCACACTGGAGACAGCAGTGGTAAGTCAATACATCCTGTGCAATTTTCTTCAATTGTGGTTGAAACTTTATCGCATTTTAACAAAGGATGAAATGTAATCTCAGTCCCAATGAAATATCACTTCGTGGCACAGAGCCTACAATAGATTCTACTGGACAAAAGAGGGCTGAGAGTTCATTATCTTCATGTTTCCCTTTAAAATCATACTACATCAAAGCGAGATATTGGTTAATTAGTCCTCAGTCGCCTTCGTCCAAGGAAAGCCTGCCTAAGTAACTAAAATGTCATTTTAATGGCAGTGCCCAAACAACGAAAATGTTATGACAGTCTAACATGCTTCTCTGATGGGTCAGTGAGCAAGAGGACAAGCTCAGTCTGGAACTGTGCCATGGAGAGCAAGAAAGGGAAGAATAATCAAAGATTCCTGTTCTGGGCAGCCTGTGTCATTGGTTGACAATCTCAAGTAGGTTGGTGACAATGTGTAGAAGCATACACTTCTAGACTAGTCATGAAAGTGAATTAGTGGAGAGTAGCCAGTGAACGCTCGATGCCCATGGAACATCATCAGAAATTTTAGATGTGGCACTATTTTGTAGATATGGGTTCTAAATTCAGGCTTCCTATCGACATCCTCCTGGTTCAATGGCGTTGTTTGCCCCAATAACTGGTGTAAGCAGTTTACAGCTGTAGGAGTTGCCAGGGGCACAGAACATATGCCAGACAGGTGCACTTGACTGGGCAGATGTGGAAAGGTTGTTTCCTACCATGTGAGAATCTCAGATCAGAGGGCATGATCTCAGTGCAAAGAGTTTCCATTTAAGACAGGGATGTGGAGGAATTTCTTTTCTCAGAGTGGAGTGAACTTCTGGAATTGTTTACTGCAGTGGGCTGTTGAGGCTGAATCATTGAGTATATTCAAGGCTGAGGTAGATTTGTAGACAAATAGGAGGCTGGAAGAACACAGCAGGCCGGGCAGCATCTGGAGGAAAGGAGTAGTCAATGTTTCAGGTATGAGCCTTCTTCAGGACAGTCTGTCTACCTTAGATTCCAGCATCTGCAGCTTTTTTTTGTCTCTAACTGAGGTAGATTTGTAATCAGGAAGGGAATCAAGGGTTATGGGGAAAGGGCAGGAAAGTGCAGTTGAGGATTATTAAATCAGCCATGCTTTCTTTGAATAGCAGAGTAGACTTGATGGGCCGAATGGCCTCCTTCTGCTCCAATGGCTAGTGGTCTTAGTTATGTGGAGTGTAAAAGGAGATAGTTATGGTTGTTTATATTGATCATCTCAGTCCTAGGGCATTGCAACAGAAATTCCCCAGAATAGTGTCCTGGGCCCAACCATCTCAACCTAATTCATCAATGATCTTCCCTCTATCATAACATTAGGAGTGTCAGTACCTTTGTGACTCCTCAGATATCGAAGTAGTCCATGTCCATATGCAACAAGGCCTGGACAATATCCAGGTTTGGGTAGATTAGTAGCAAGTAGCATTCATGCCACACAGTGCCTGATAATGACCATCTCCAACAAAATCTAACAATCTCCCCTTGATATTCAATGGAATTACCAACATTGAATTTCCCACTATCACTATCCTGTGGGTTTCTATTGACCGTGTTTTGAACTACCATGCAAATACCATGGCTACAAGAGCAGGTCGAACACTGGGACCTCTGAGGTGAGTAACGCACCTCCTGACTCCCCAAAGCCTGTCCACCACCTACAAGGCACAAGTCAGAAGTCTGATGAAATACTCTCCACTTGCCTGGTTGAGTGCGGCTCCAACAACACTCAAGAAGCTTAACACCATCCAGGATAAAGCAACCTGTTTGATTGATATCCCATCCACCATCTTATGCATTCACTTCCTTCACCACAGTGGTAGCAGTGTGTGCCATCTAAGTAATGCACTGCAGTGACTTACCAAGGTTCCCTTGGTAGCAGTTGCTATCGCAATAACCTTTCCACATAGAGAGGTATGGGGCCAATAGAGCCATGGGAACACCGCATCTGCAAATTCCTCTGCAAGCTGCACACTATCCTCATTTTGATTTATATTTAGTTTCTTCAACGTCGCTGGGCCAACATCTAACAGCACTGCACATGTCCCTTCACTGGATGGATTGCAACTGTTCAATAAAATAGCTCATGCTAATTTCTCAAGAGCAATGACTCCCAAGCTCCCATTTCATGTTTTAAAAACCTTCAGCAGGTTACCTCCTCAGTCTTCTTTGTTTAAGAAAAATATCCACTCTGTTAATCATTTCCGAAATCATTCTTGTAAGTCTTCTCTGCACCCTCTCCAGTGCCTCTATGATCATTTATAAAATGGCGAGAATTGCACCCATCAGTTATATTCTAGGCAAGGTTTAGTGGGGAGGCAATGACCTAGTGATATTATTACTAGGCTTTTAATCCAGAAACTCAGGTTATTTTCTGGGGATCCGGATTCAAATTCTGCTATGGCAGATAATGCAATTTGAATTCAATAAAAAAAATTGGAATTAAGAGTCTAATGATCATCATGAATCCATTGTTGATTGTCGGGAAAACCCCTTCTGGTTCACTAATGTCCTTTAAGGAGGGAAATCTGTCTTCTTTACCTGGTCTGACCAACATGTGATTCCAGTCTGAGCAATGTGGTTGACTCTTAACTGCCCTATGGACAATTAGGGATGGGCAATAAATGTTGCCTAGCCAGTGATGCCCATATCCCAATGAATAAAATGCCAGTTTAGCATAAATTTATCTTTCTAGAAATAAAATCTGATGACTGGTTTGTTTTTTTTATTGCCTTGATAACATATGGCACCCCATGTCTAGTGTTCTCTGTGCTTGTACTCAGAGATGCCATTATTCCTTGAACCTCCCATAAACTTGCACCTTCCAGGTAATAAACCAGTGCTTTTCTTTGTTTGGTTTTTAAATTTTTTTTATCCATTCATGGGAAGTGGTGTTGCTGGCTGGGCAGCTCTTGAGAAGGTGGAGGTGAGCTGCCTTCTCCAACTGCTGCAGTCCATGTGCTGTAGGAAGACCCACAATGCTGTGAGGGAATTCCAGAATTTTTGACCCAGCAGCAGTGAAGGAACTCCAATATATTTCCAAGTCAGGATGGTGTGAGGCTTAGAGGGGAACTTGCAGTTGGTGATGTTTCCATGTATCTGCTGCCCTTGTTCTTCTAGATGGTAGAGGTTATGCTTTTGGAAGGTGCTGTCTCAGGATCTTTGGCAAATTTCTGCAGTGCATCTTATTAGGGTACACATTGTTGCTACTGAGCATCAGTGGTGGAGAGAGTGGATATTTGTGAATGCAGCGCCAATTAAACTTGCTTTGTTCTGGATGCACTGGAGACTTGCTCAACTCTTACCATGGTGCTTGGTGGAATTTAAATTCGATTAATTAATTGGTGTCAGTAAATTAATAAACTAGTCTCAGCAGTGGTGACCATGAAGCTGTCTTCAACTTTTGTTAAAAACCCGTTAATCACAAATGTCCTTTTAGGAAAGGATATCAGCTGTTCCCCATGTGACTCCAGACCCACAATGATGTGGTTGTCCCATAACTGCTGTCTGAAATGGCCTAGCAAGAAAGAATAAAATAATAATAAGACAAAACAAAGAAAGATGAATGCTGGAGAAACTCAGCAGGTCTGGCAGCATCCATGGAGAGAGTAAGAAGAGTTAACATTTCAAATCCAGTGACCCTTCTAGCATCCGTAGTTTTTAGTTTTATTTTCTTTAACAAAAGCAGCTAGATAAGTGATAATGTGGGATTTGAATGGAATGGCTGAGCTGAAAGCAACTTGTGTCATGATATAAAATAAAAATGATTGCACTGTTTGATAATTATTTGCTTATGGCTGGTCCAATTCAGTTTCTGAGCAATGGTATACCCCCAGGATGTTGAGAGCTCTTCCATGCACACCTGCAGGAAGCACAGCAATGAAAGATTCTTGCTGCTTCTGGGAAATGGAAGTAGGTAACAGGACCAGATATACTCATTGAAACAGATAGGATTCTCAAAGAGCTTATCAGGGTAAATGCTGAGATGATGCTTCCCCTCATGGGAGTGTCTACAACCAGAGGGCATTGTCTCAGAATAAAGGGGCACCTATTTAACACTGAGATGAGGAGGAATTTCTTCTGTCAGATGGTTGTGAGTCTTTGGAACTGCTTGCCACAGGCAGCTGGGGGATCCTTGTGTATATTTAAGGCTGAGACAGATGGATAAATTAGTTAATTATTAGTTAGTTAGTTAATTAATTATCAGTAGGGAAGCCAACATAATCAAAGATCCCTCCCACCCCACTTATAATCTCTTCCAACCTCTTCTTTCGGACAGAAGATACAAAAGCTTAAACACACGTGCCAAAAGATTTAAGAACAGCTTCTTCCCCACTATTATTAGACCTCTGAATGGACCTGTCACATTTTAAATTTAACATTGATCTCTTTGTGCACCTTCTCTACAGCCTTAACATTGTATTCTTTGCTCTGTTCTATTATCCTAATGCAATTTGTATGGTATGATCTGCCTTTTCTGCATGCAAAACAAAACTTTTCACTGTACCTAGGTACATGTGACAATAATAAATCACATCAAATCAAATCAGAAATCAAGGGATATGGGGAAAGGGCAGGAAAGTAGACATGAGGAATGTTGGATCAGCCATGATCTATTGAACGGTGGACCAGGCTCGAGAGGCAAACGGCCTACTTCTTTTCCCATTCCTTGTGGACTTACGTGTTTCAGAAGAGAGCTCAATATTGGCTGAGTTGTGGGGGAGATGGTCCAGGAGCGATAACAAGTTTCAAATTTCTCCCCTTATTGCTGGGGGTGGTAGGAAGTATACTGGTCAAGTCCCACTGAAACAACAGGTTGCACTGAGAATGTAGGAAAATGCACCTATCTATCTCAGCTATTCAGCTACTTCTGAGGCACATCCCCAAAAGGTCCAGGTGAAAAGCAGAGCAGCAATTCTCATATACCACACATACAACCCTTCTAACAGGTCTCTGT